AAAGGAACCATTATCTAGTCAAAAAAATTTTGGGAATCTTCATAGATGTGTTGCCTCTACCATCCATAGAAAGCGAACTCGAAACGCGAATATCGATTGAGCAGCTTAGGTTGTGCCTACCATGCAATGACTCATAAACTGTAGTATACGGCCGTTTACGGCTGTCGTAATCATCGTCCTGGGCCGATTTAGAATGCTCATATTTGTATCACGGATAACGTTAAATTTTTTATACTTATATACAATTGTAGTTTATACATTTCTCTATAAAATGACAGATTCCGTGACTCTGAGTAATTCTTTATAACAGATTTATAACAATTTTCATGGAAGCCCTAACATCAGTTTTTAACTGGTGCATGCCTAATTAGAGGTCATCGGTATAGTGAGTTTCCTAAATTTTCCTAAGCTCTAAAGTTGATGAGATTTCCACAGCACATGCATCGACTAACGATACATCGATACTGTTAGCGTAAACTAGCGTAAATGGTTCCGGTGCGAACCATTCGTTTGAACCGTTAGCTTTTGAGATAAAAGCAAGTTTTCTCAGCTCAAAGACATCAAAATTAAAAGCCAATCAGATATTTGGAATCAGCACGAAAAACTGCGTCGAATGATGTATAATTCATCCGTTGTGTCTACAGGTTTCTGAATTTGCTTGATTTCTTAGTTTCTGATGTCCGCATGTAGGGATTTCTGCGTGAAACGTAAAGTGTTGAGAAAGTTAAAAGATAAACCCATTGTCACGGTAAATTAAACGGTGAAAAATTTGAAGTTTAGTTGGAAGATAGAGTAAAACCAGGGCTACAAAATGGCTAATTCTGTTTTTCTTTCTTTCAAATTGGTACTATATGAAATCGTTTTTGAATTTACAAAGTTTTCATTTTTTTTTCGTGTTTCGTCTAATTTGCGTAGTTTTCTTGACTGAAGTTTTGAAGTTAAAGTTTGGATATGCTTCTGTAGAGTATTTCACGGCGCATCTTTTAAAAAAACATTAACCGTAAGATCCTCGAACAAGGAAAATAGAAAATACTAATGGTAGCATTTGACACACCAATTATATTTGCTATGATTTTCAACTAGTCGCAAGAATATTTATTTTGTGAACAAAAACAAATCTGTACATTTCAATCGTAAAATGTTTCGAATACATTCAATAACAATATGAAACGTTTGCATAGAAATATTGGAAATTTTCGTAGAAGAAACACGGTAAACTTTTAATTAGCAACAACGATAAGAAGACATCATGAAAACACCAAGTAAAAATCAAAATCGGCTACTATTAGTATTTGCCGCTCAACACCATATGGTAATGATTATAATTACATTACTCGTCTTATGCCAATTTGTGCCTTACAAGCTGGGCAATAATGAACGGCATCTTTCATTGAATCAACACAAAAGGGAATAAGACAACAACCAAATACTCCACCAAACACTGCTATTAATACGCATATTAACCATGCAGCAGTACCACTCACATAATCCACATTTGTAACAACCTGAGTTCGACACGCAGGACACGTTATGGCAGCTGGCTGGGTACCCAGAAATGGTACCTGTTGTGTAACATAGACAGTCGTAGCAGGCAGTTGACCCATTGTCGCGCCTAAAATAAAAAAAAAGAATAGGACATGACAAGTGACACACAGTACATAGACAATGTAGTCTTTGAGGTGTTTACTTATTTGTTTACTTGAGAAAGACTCGATGTGATCTTTCAAAGTTAATATGAGGACTTTTCGAATCAACAGTAGTCATTCACATCGAACACAAAAACCGACTAAAGTCATCCACTAAAATAGATTTACGATTGCTTTTTCCAACCCCTCGTAGCTGAGATATACTAATGCATTTAATATGATACTTAGATCTTTTTCAAAAATAATGTGATTCCTATATAACACATAGCTATTGTACTAATATTGTACAACTTTACAGCTTTTCCGACACTCAAATAAAACTGGATGAGTGTGTTGCCGCTTCCTAAGCGTGTCAACTAGAAGCTAATGCCACTTCTTAGTTATTGATAATCATCACAAGTATTAGTAAGAACTTTAGTTTCGTTGAATTAGTTA